TTGGGGTCACACCTGTGGGGATCAGATTGGACTCAGTGCTCCGGTTCTCCGCTGGCGCCAGCACTGCGTGCTGCATCCGGCCCTCCTCCCGGTCACGCCACCCCACTCGCCGAGGCCACGCACCTGTGAAGGCCTTCGCTGCAGACAGGAGGAGGCGCAGGGACTCGCTGGAAGCCTTGTCTTCCTTGGTCACACCTGTGGGGATCAGATTGGACTCAGTGCTCCGGTTCTCCGCTGGCGCCAGCACTGCGTGCTGCATCCGGCCCTCCTCCCGGTCACGCCACCCCACTCGCCGAGGCCACGCACCTGTGAAGGCCAGTTCGCTGCAGTGCAGCAGCCGCAGCACGTCATCCAGGCCCTGCCAGCTCCGCCGCTCCAGCACCTGGAAGACGCAGATGCTAGTTGCAAGTCCAAGGCAGCACCAAGCTCAGGAAAGGAAGGTTGCAGCAGCCCGACCATCACTTTGCTGGTTACTAGGGCAGCTGAACGTTGGCACAGACCAGGGACTAAGAAAAAGCAGAGAGTGAAACACGATGGGAGCGGGAGTCACTTGTTCTCACCTGCTCAATGATGCGGCAGCTGAGGGGCACATAAGCACCGCTGAAGACATACGCCATGTCCCGTGGCACCTTCAGGTCGTACTCGCCATCCACACGTGGGATCTAGAGGGCAAAGGGGACGGCATGAGGCCACTGACAACTCAGCTCTCCAGTCTTTTACAGAGTCAGAGAAAAGTAGCAGGTCCCTAAGAATGGTTCTTACTTCAACTAAAGGGATAACCGGCAGTGACATGGGACATGTCTGTCACTGAAGCAGCAGTGAACCTATTCTTTGGCATTGGTAAGTGCTTGTTACATGTTTATTAACTGAATGAATCTGTGTCTTGTCTCATTGAAATTAAGCTCATGCTATCGTACTACTAAACAATAGGATCTTGATAAAAACGAAGCAAGAAAAGGTTTTTGTGGATTCCAAGCACTCCACAAAGGACTGAACTCACGGCCTCCCTTGTCTGTCCCTGCTCCACATACCAAATTCAGCTTCTTGCTGATGGCACGAAAATTGCTCCTCTTGGCCAGAGAGCTGAAGGCATCAGTGATCTTTTCTGGGGAAGAAATCTGTGCTGGGTTTCATCTAAAGCCTACAGATTCACGACACTGTCACAGGCAGTACCGTCCAGGAAGTGACAGGACTGCCTTTTCTCAAATACAGGACCTATCACATCTCCAAGCTATTCATCCACAATACCCTGAAACCGATGGAGATGAGACTTTCACCCTTCTCCCCACCCCATCTTCCTCTTCCTACAGGGTGCCAGCTGTCTACTAAATGCTATCTACAGGGAGACACTAATGTACTGGTTAACTATATGGGCCTTGGAGCCAAAGCAACCTGGGTTCTAATGTGACTTACTGAGAGACCCTGGACAAGTCATTTAATCTCTCTATGCCCCAGTTTCCTCATCTGTCAGTGGAGATAAAACTAACCTTTGTAAGGAGCAGATGAGAAACTGTGTCTAAAGGGCTTAGCACCTGGTGAGTGTTCAGAACATGCAAATAGCATCTCCCAGCAGAAGCAGGGCTGGTGACAGTACAGGGAGCGGTCCCTCTCCGTCCCCGCTCCTGCTTTCCCAGGGTGCTCTGCTTTTTGGGAGAAGAGGAAGGGGAGGGGCTCCCTGTGCTGTCTGCTCACCTGCAGCCTTGTCCGTCACCAGCTTGCTCACTTTACTCTCCATAGCTGTGAGGGTTTCCCCAGGGGCCTGCTCTGTTAGGAGCCCTGCTCGCCGCAGGTTGGAGAAGGTCAGCAGGTGCTCAGGGCCATAGCTCTGAAGAAAATGCAGTGCAGCTCTTTACTGAGCATCCGGCACTGTTTGGGGATCCCGACGTGAGTGGGGGAGGATTACCCAGTCCATGCCCGGAAGAGCTCGGACTTGTCTGTGTATTTTATCAGCAATAACCAAACAACACACCCAGAAGAAGTAAGTCACACAAAACTATTTAAGACCTCAGAAAGCTTGTGACAGAAGGATGTTGGGGAGGGCTTCACAGGTAAGACTTGAGAAAGACCTGAAAAGAAGCTCATCAGTCAGAACTCGGCACCTACTCCAACCCCTGAATTGTCCAGTCCTCTTAGCATTGGCCACCCGCCGTGAGAATCAGGAGTGGGGCAAAACGGGGGCAGCGGGAAGGGTCTCTGTGCGCCGAAAGCTGACTGTCCCCAGAACCGCTAAGAGGGAGGCCAGATGGAAACAGGAAAGGAGCCATTTTTCCTTTTGCCTGATTCAAAAATATCCGCTGACCTCCCTGTACCAAGTTCCCTCAAGAAGACATTGTCCTGGCCTTACCTGTAGATACTGTGTTTTCAGGGATCGGTAATCCTTGGGGATCAGACCTGAGGGGAAGGGAGATAAGACTGGTTCCTGAGCCAGCTGAGGTGTCCTGAAATATACAGCCAAACCAACAAGCCAACCAACCCTCTTCCACACACACACACACACACACACGCACGCACGCATACAAAACCCAAAAACTGAACCACTGAACCATGGAGAAGGATTCAGTAAAGGACGCTAACCTTGCACCTTGTCCAGTTGATTCTAAACTGACTCTTCAATTTAAGCTTGCTTACTGAAAGATCTGAGAGTTCCCGAAATGAATGCTAATCGTAGTGGGAACGGGGACAAGATGCAGTAGGAGAAGGGACAGCCTGTGTGTTTCTGGCTGGCTATGGGCCAGTTCCACTGCCTTATGGGAACAGGAAGAGTGTTCATATGGTTCCAAAGTGCCGTCCTAGATGTTTGCCTCCACTGAGATAAGAAGTGGGCTTCCAACTGCGATAAAGGAGCTTGGAATAAGCAAAGCTCCCCTCTGGGTGGACAGCAACCTTAAAGAATATTCGCCAAGCGGAAGACTTCAATAGTAAAAACAAGTTACCATGAAAGGTTTGCAGAATCTGGGTTTTTGGAGAATGTTTATGAAATTAGTTGGCCGTCCCTTTTTTCTGGACTATATCGTTATTATGAAATCTTGTTGAAGATAGGAGGCCAGCTGGAATGAACAGAGAGGTGCCACTCTGCTCTACGCTTCTGTAGTCCTAAGATGTGACAGGCCCTGCTCTGGGGGGCAGGGCTAGATGTGGTCCTGCTTAGGGTGGGGAAGCTAAATTACCCTACAACCTAGGGATGTTTCACTCAAAACAAAAAACTGCTTTAATTTTACAGGGGAAAGAATCCACAACATTATAGGGAAATGTTTCGTCTGCTATTTGCATCTGTCATTCAAAATGATTTCTTCCATCCCTAAAGTATAGGTTTTCAATCTGGCATCTTTGGTCCCTGGGACTCACCATTCTCGGTGATGGACAAAAGACACATGAGGCGAAGGCTTTCTATAGGTGACACCTGCACCAAAGAAAGAATCCGGGAGAATTCAAGTTCCACAACATACGTTCTTCCCTCCCCTGCGTTCCTCTGCAGGCCAACCCACCCGAAAACAGCATTCCCCGCACCCCGTCCACCTGCTAACCTGTCGGTCGATGTGCTCCTCAATGTAGCTGGTGCTCTCCCGGATGCTGAAGCCCTCCAGCAGCGCTGTGAGTAATCAGAGGGCAGCCTGTGACATCTGTGCTAACGGGCATGTCTCCCCATCTCTCTCATCCTTGGGTGGGTTAAGGGTGCCCTGGGACTCTAACAGGCACCAGCATGCCACACAGCCAGCGGCAGCTGGAAGGCGCCAAAGAGCATCTTTTCGGGGTGGGACAGGGTTGGGAGCCAGTGGGGCCGAAGCGGTGGGCACAGCCACTGCAGTCACCGTGCTCGGTCTTGATGAGCTCCTGGAAGTCCTGCTTGGTTTTCTTCTTCATGATGGATTCACAGGCCCCAATATCTGCAGAGAGGACAAAGAGCCAGCTGACACAGTCTTTGTTCTAGGAGGCTATCCCTTTATCGGCCAGAGGAATAAATACCTCAAGGCAAAACGCAAAAGCACTTCCTCTTCCTTTAGACCAGATGACAGCATTATTTGCCAGATGAACAGAAATGTCCCCTCGGGAGGCAGAGCTCCTGTCCCGGTCCCCTCACCACCTCCTCCAGCTGAAACCTACGCAGACTCAGCAGGCGGTGCTCCTGTTTCAGTCCCTTGAGCTCCTGGGAAACGAAGTTCTTCATCTGCTTGATGTCCATGCCTCTCCGGCGCTGCAGGGAAGTCGCCTAAGGTCACCTCTCCTTGCCCTCAGATATGAGAAACCACTGCCCTCCCTCAGTTCCCACCGATCCAAGAGAAAAGACAAGGAGCCCGTCACAGTATCAGAGGGGTAGCTGAGGGACAGCAGCCTCGGGAAGCCACTACGGACACAAAAAAGAGGGCCCGGGCTCGGAGCCTCACGTCATACTGGGCCTGCAAGTTCCGGGCCTTCTGGCTCAAGAAGCCAAAGACATTGGAGAAGTGCTCGTTACGAATCTCATTAAACACCTGTGAGGGGAACAAGACGGGAACAGCTCATGGCACAGAACCAGACCTCGTCCCTCCCGACCTCATTGGTGTCACGATGGCACAGAAAGAGTGCGCAGCGGTTCTAGCGAAAGTACAAAGAAAGCTGAGCTGCCATCAAACAGCACACGTCAAATACCTGCTATGTGTGCTGGGGCTCCCTCTCCCGGGGACTTGCCTCCCCTCCCAGAGCCGGTGCCCACAGCCTCACAGGAGCAGAGCGAGCACCCGGCCCCTCACCTTGTCCTCGGCATTGAGCAGCACCTTCAGGCTTCTGTCAGAGGATGTGACTTCCGGGCCAAAATCAACACTCCCTTTGAGAGCAGAAGGGACAGTTGTGAGGATCTCCGATGAGGCTTCCTTCTCCTACCCGCCCCGGAGCTGCCGTGAAAGGTCATTAACAGAAGCCAGCAGTTCTCTCAGACCCCGGGTCTCTCCCACCAGCCCCGCCCCATGCAGGAGGCCCCAGGAGCTGAGGGACACCTCTCTTGCCAAGATGCCACTTACCACACTTGATGCGGAAGGTGTCGTCCACCAGGCCCTCATAAACCACCTGGGAGCAAAGTGCCGTCACAAAGTCCACGTCTGAAACCAAGATTCCCAACCGTGAGGGTCCCCCCGATGCAGCCTTTTACTCATTTCGCTCAGTATCAGCTCAAGGGCCTTCCCCAGGGCCCGAGTACCCAGGCTCCCAATCAGTGCTGCCATTTGCGGCCCAACCGGAGGGCCCCGACTGTGCCACCCTGTCTGCTACAGCCCCACATCTTCTAGAATCCAGAGGCAAGAGGAGTACTGAGCATGATTTACCTCTGTCCAGGAGAAAGACATGTCCAATTTCTGGCCTTCGGCCCTTGGTTTCGCCATCCTCCTCCTCCTCCAGTTTCCTCCACAATTCATGGGACATCTACCAGGAACCAAGACATTCTTTTATTTTTTTTTCCAAATTTGTAATTTGATTTTAATTAAACTTTTTTTATTTTGAGATCATTATAGCTTCACATGCAGCTGTAAGTAATATAAGACATAAGACATGCTTAATCTTGTGTCCAAGCCCTTCCTGTAGTCCCACACCTAGAGAAGCCGACCCCTTTCTAGGCGACACAAAAAGAGGGGCCCGGGGCTCTCCTAGACCCCAAGAGGAAAGCTAAGTATCAACAATGTGACCTATTCCGCTCCCATCTGTTCCTCTTCCTCCCCGCCCCTCTCCATACCAAAGACACAAGAGACCTAGGCACGCTGCCCAGGAGGCCCTGGCCCTGGCCTTCCTGTCACCACACAAGCTCTCCTCTCTGAGGAACTATTCTGCAACCAGAACAGCAAGGTGAAGAATACACCTCGTGTCGCAGATGGCCCTCGCCCATCCCTGGCGGGGAAGACAGGGGCTGTCAGGACACAGCGCTGCTCGTGCTCACCTTGGCACATCTGCCGATCCCGTAGCAGTGAGGAAAGGGCCCGTAGAGAGTGCTGAGGAGCTGCAAGGTCTGTGCCACAGTGTTGATCCAACGCTGATCTCCTTCCTGCAGGGACCACGTGGGCCACAGAGATATGGGTCACCCTGACAGACCTGTCTGGAAAGTGACTGACCCTAGAGCCC